ATTTAATATTACAATGAATACATGATTATTCAGCCATGTTTTTATGTTGATGCTATTTATAGTAGCTTTCTTTGGACAGCTTTAAAAGTTTTCATTCCTTATTGACTAATGTAGAATCGTGAGCATGTTCATATCCATCGCTCTAAATCACACACAGCTAAGGAACTAGGCACTTCGTCGTTGCCAATTTTTGAATCATATTAATGGGCTTTCGAGATGCAATCCGGATAAGTCTGCATGAATGATGGATCTCTGGAGAAAAACTGAGGCAGCATTAGTTAAGCGGCAACAGCATCAGGATATCCCTTTTCTTTCCTATAAATCTAAGCCCTCTTCTATTAAAACTGACACCACTGTAAATCACTACCTTAACACTGTGGTAGGTCCTCCAAAACAAGCATAACTCTACATACACTTCATCATCTCCCATATGGCACAACCCCTTAAATATCCAGGCTTATTACCTCTTACAACTTATTTTTCTGTAACAACATCGAAAACAATACAAACTGGCTGAGCATTTCTTAAGTTATTGGAGAGAAGAATGGAAGTTTGAACCAGATGGTGGCTCCAGACCATTTAAAGGGTTAATAATGTTTGGGCCAAACAATGGTGAATCTAGCACTGTCAGTCAACTGGTCAACAGGCAACATTTAGTTATTGGTTGGCACTCATTTTAACACTATTAATCTTTCCTTTAACTTTGAATAATGAGCAATTACAACAGTCCTCAGATGTACAGCACAAAATGATTCTTTCTGCACTTCTTCCTGAAGAACACTGGCTGTGTTTACATGCAAAGATTTTTGCCAATCCGATTAAATACATTCCGATTACAGATTAAGACTGAGGTGTTTATGCTCACTCTATTCAACAATCAGTTGGAAAATCTTCGTTTACATGCTCACTACAAGCAATCAGATCCAAAATGACACGCATGCGTGGAGTACCACTTAGAGTAAACGTTACCACAAATTGTATTCCAAATGGCCTCAATCAGACTAGTCTTTTCCGATTGAAGTGTATACACGGACGCATTCTATTCCGATTGAGCTATTAGTCAGATTATTAATGGATTATTAGGCTGCATGTAAACGTGGCTACTGTAAATAGTAGCTATAGTACTTCACTGTTGATAATTTTATATACAATACCTTATACAGTGTAGAAGTGAATATAATAAAGTAGGCATTAAAAAAATATCACATTCTACTTAAAACGTATGTGTTGACAATACATTTTGTTGTTTTCTAGCAACAAAAATGTATTGTCAACACATACATTTATATGAATAGCAATATACTGTAATTGTCTATTTCTAAATCAATTCATAAATGCTATCTGTCTTGGGAACACTATTTTTTTAAATAAGAGGTATTAGGGTTGCTAATTTTGTAACTGATATTAATTAATTGATCTTATTGATTAAGTTAACCATGCACAATTACCTTTCAGAGTAAAAAAAAAATACATTTACGTCACATTTACACTTTTTTCCAGAGTCAAGGCATGTGTGCTGTCCAAATTTTGCTTCTTTATTTTAGCACTGGAGCTACAAGGTTAACATTTTTACAAACACTAAAAGTCAATAGTCATGCAAATCTTTTCCGAGCAGCCTCTTTAGACAACAGGTGTTGTGCCAAATTTTGTTTGACTACTGACTTCTTGTGTTTGTTAGTAATGTTAGCCTTGCAACTTCAGCACTAAATTGAAGGAACAGTATATGAACACCAAATATTACTTGACTGGTCAACTATATCTGAGGTAAGTGGAAAATTATGTAGATTTGATTTTTTGCCCTAACCATTAATTTAATGCTTAGTTTATAATTTTAGCTTTCTCAGTCATTTTAGAATAATCTACACTTCTGTCCATTGTTCTGGGCATGTCTAAATTTTCTACATTTTCTTTTCTTTTTTCTTTCAGCTTTCTAGTATCCTACTAATTTCTTAAATCTTTGAGAGCGCACATGAAACATTCAAAAACAAGAACTGCTCAAACAAAGGTTTTATGCACCCAGTACCCTCATTTTATTTTTCTACATGCATTCAAAATTGCTCTGCTCTGTTTGGGACTAGAAAAACAAGTTTAAAATTGAAGCGTTTTGCTCTTAAATTCCATGAGGTACTGTGAGGGTCCGTGCTCTGTTGCAACTGTACATCACAGGTGATTGAATTGATTCTCCCATCTATTTCACAGTCTCCACACAAACCAATTGCTGTATTTATCATGTTCACTAAAGTCACCAAGAACTGAGGAATTCATCAACACTTCATTGTAACATCAGCGGAATAATAACGGCAACTCCATTCCATGACAGTGGCCTCATCTGAGCCAAGCGAAGCTCCAATTTGTCACCAAGATTCATGACAAAGCCTCTGTCTCTGAATATGCTTTCATTTCCCGCTCCACCTGGTCCAAGTGAGGAACAAAATGAAAAAAAGAAAAAAAATTGCTTATGGTGGCAAAATCCCAATGCATAGTATGTCCAAATGCTGTCATCGAAAAGCAGCCAGGCAATCAGGTGCTGACACCCAGCAACAAGTGGGAGCCATATGCCTTAATTCTTTGTAAATCCCAATAAAGAATGAATGGATCCATCATCAAGCTGTTTCCCATTAAAGGGCCCATATGACAGAAAACAAGGATGGAATTTTTTTTTTTTAGAGTCCAAAGACATGCAGTCAGGCTAACCTGAGATGCTAAATTGCCCCTAGGTGTGAATGCATATGTCTGTGTGTCTGCCCTGCGATGGACTAGCAACCTGTCCAGGGTGTTTCCTGCCTTCTGCCCAGTGAGTGCTGAGATACAGCACCCCAGCGACCCAGGTGGATAAGTGGCTTAGAAAATGTGTGTGTGTGCGTATAGTTGGTGTAGTATGCAAACATTGTTAACGTTTCAAATCTTACCCCTGAGTCCATACAGTGAAATGAAAACTAGGATGCTGTTTTGAAATCATTGTTTTTGTGATGTCACCAAAAACCAACAAACTTAAGCTTGCCTATTTGGCCTAGAGCAGTACAACTCTGCCCATTCATGCTGAACTTATAAGGACTGCTTTTTGAATGAGGCACAAATCAGAGCACAGATCTACATATATGCCTTTAAGGCATAGTAATAAAAACAGCTCATTTAACTGTAAGCGATAAAGAGAGGTTGGAAAATGGTCAGGTAAAAATGAAATATGACTGTTTTTGGTCCATAAACCCTCACAAATGTCATAAGCTGACTATGCACAAAGAATAATAAAGAAGAAGAAAAATGTGGGTCATGAGTCCTTTAATTTCAGCGGTGCCAGGCTCAAATGTAGCCACCGGCGCTAGCATGACAGGGCATCCAAAAGTTCCACTGGTAAGGGCCTGTCTACCATCGCATTAGAAGAGGTGCTGGTGTGAGAAGAAGTGCTCTCCAGCACTCAGTTCAGGCGAAATGGCAATGGGCAGACTCATTCACACGTAGCTATTTTCTGCCACGGTCTTCGGGCATCTGAAGGATTTCTTGCTGTAATAAGCCGCTCTCTCCACAACATGACAGCATGTCTACATCAAAGTGCTCCGCAGAGGCTGCTGTGCCACTACACTGAGTATCAAAAGGGCATTAAGAGGCCACTTGAAGAGGGATTGATGTTTCTGAGCCTTCACCACTGCAGACACTGCTAATTCATGCTAATATTCATGCTAATAAGTTAAGGACCACACCAGTTTTCACATAAGGGGCAAATATGCACTGTGAACCCTTTAGAATGTAATTTACTGCCAAAAAGCTAATGGACAGTAAGAAAGTAGTTGAAGACATGCTATTATGTAGGAAAATATGCTACCACGTACCCTTCATTGAATTTACTTGATTCAAACGTGCACCATTGTATAATTTCCTCAAGAAAAAAGTATATTAAATGTTATGAACTGTTAGAGGCTGTGCTGAACTGTTGATTGTCTGGATTACACAGGGACATAATTACACAACAATGTTTTCATTCATCAGTGTTCCCTCACTACAGTACCCAGCATATATTACACAAAAACATCATACATACAACCACTGAAAATCCCTGAGGTCCCAACCAATCATGACCACTAGCCTAGCCACTGATTTAGAGGCAAATAAATACAAGCTAGCACCAGTTAAGAGTTAAGCTAATGCTAGCTTGTATTTATTAGTCTCTAGATCAATGACGAGAGACTAATACATTCAAGCTAGTGTTTGTTCAATTCTTAACTCCTACAAAATCAAATAGATAATATAGATTTTCTCTTAATGCAGCACAAATTCGACATCAAAGACAAGTTATTTTACCCGTTCAGCCAAAGAAAAGAAGCCAAGCTAAGGTACAATATGTCTAACTTGGCTAAATTTAAGCTTTAGCTTGTTGTCCTTTCCATGTGACAAGTTATTTCTGTATTTTAGTAATCCATTCTCTCCACTTTAATGATGATCTGAAGACAGTTAATAAAGTTATAGTGCTGCAAGTAGATATTCAGCTTCCTAGCAGCAATGTTAGCTGCTTCCTTTCAAAAGTAAAACAGCCCAAACCCAAAAATCCAATTTACTCATCTTCAAATTGCAAAATCTTGCTCTAGAGACTTCTGTGGCACTGCTAAAGGTAGTGCTGGTCAAATTTCTCATTTTGCCTGGAGTGTCTTTTTACCTCAGATACAGTTTTGCATTAGACCTATATATATATATATATATATATATATATATATAGTGTAGCCTCAAACAGCACCATGTGGTTATTCATACAAATGGATAAAAGAGAGGCCAAAAACTAGGCTTTAAAATGGCTTTTAAGTGTTTTGTCCATTTTGTCCAACAAAAAATTAACTTTGATGATTAAGGCATGCAGTTTGTACAATACTAATTTGTGGCTATATGCTTCCATTACTCATTAGCAACATTAGCCTTGTAGCTCTAGAGCAAAACTAAAAAAAGGCTGTCTTGGCTGATGAGCTACATTCAGGGTGAATGAAAAATGCTTGACTTGTATTTCAAACACGTACCTTTCACCTGTACGCCAATGCGGAAGTACACGTCTGCAGTACTGAGGTAGCGCTCCACAAGGATGTAGTACCATTGCTCCCAGGACAGCAGTGGTAGCTCCAGCTCGCAAGGCATGTTCTCTCTGCAGTCCACTGCGCTGGAGTTGTGGACCGGTGGAGCCCTGGCCCGCATCTTCAGCAGCACCGGACAACTCTCACCACTCTTGTTCCTGGTGCCGCAGTCCACCAGCTGGACTTTCACCAGAGATATGTAGCTGGGAATGAACACTCTGTAGAGCAAAGAGGAAAGACATTTGAGTGAGGTCAGTTGTTGCACCCTAATCAAGATAAGTCATACGTTATTAACTCTATCAAACCAAACGTCTTGCTGGCGATGCATCCAGAGACTTTGTTGATGTCCTTTTCAACTCTGCTACCAGAGGTGTTATGGCATGTGCATATTCATATTTGCCATAGTAGACTAGATCAACATGTGAGGGTTTCTTTTTCTGTTCTGTGTTCTACTGTGATTTCCATGCATGAGGCTTCCTTTATTGTTGGATGCACTGCGATGTTTTTCCTGGGTGACAATGCAACCTAATTCCAAGTGCAGCTCAAATCAGCACTTATTATCGCTTTGTTTAACCAGAGTAACAATAAAACACAACTTTTGTGTAATTTTCCTGTTCTAGGAAGTGGTTTGTGACACAGTGGTCTGCCTTGTTAGAACAAGTTCTTTACATATTAACCTCTTTTTACAGTAGTCATATAATGTAATTTCCACCTGTTATGAAGGTCCATCAGTTGATGCTTTTTGTTCTTCAAACACATTAATGGACTATATTTGTATGATGGAAATGTGTATGATTCACAAAAACTGGAAGCAAACTGGATTTTTGTCTTTTTAGTAATGTTGACTGCTTGCTCAACTACGAAGTTTTTTATTGTATAAATGCTACTTTTTAGTTTAGCAGTGCACATTGTGTTTTTTATGTTAACAGAGCAGCAGTTGTGCTGTCTGTTCTACCTCGGTGTGGCTGTTTTTGTGGAGAGGTGTAAATTATTTTCACATTCCTTCCTCTCTCACCCCACATTGCTCACTAGCAGCTCAACATAATGTCATAACATTTAACACAAAGAGAACCAACAGTGTCCAAGTTAATCTACAACAGAATTACAGAGTTAATAACGAATTTAAGTGATCAAAATATCTTAGTCCAGTAGGGGGCCTGCAGAATAAGGCCACAGGTGAAAAAGAGTCAGCAATGTGCATGAAATTAATGTTTTGTTCTCTCAACTATTACAAAGCTAGAGTTGGGACAACTTAGGAATACATATTGTGCATTTACTTTTGACAATGTTGCTAAATGATCCGTCTTCTTACATTATGTGGTTTAAAGATGATATTTGAAGGCCCTCAGACATTTTGTCTCCAGACTCAAACCAACAATGTCTTCTTTATGTCTTTGAGTGCATTTCTCTTGTGTTTTATATTTTTCCCTGAGGGCCAGTTATGATATTTGTGTTTGTCACACTTCATCTTTACATGACCATTTTCAATCTCTCTTTGTCCCTTAGAATCAAATAAGCTGATTTTGCTACTGTGCCTTTAAGAGCGATGTATGTAAATGAGCTTTGCTCTGATTGACTGCCCTGTATTTAAAAAGCAGTCTGAGCTGAAACACTTCATATAACTTCATTGTGAAATTATATGGAGTTATATATTGGGTGGAGCTAAACTGCTTTTGATATCACAATAATAATGAATTCAAAACAAGCTGTCATTTCTTTTTATAGACTGTATGGATTTAAAAACTTTAACAATGTTTACATTCTACAGCAAACTATTCTATCTTTAAAAGGCAAGGAAATTAAGTTTCCTATGATATGGGCCCTTTAACCAGTGTGCCCCTGTGACACCCTTCCCAGCATTTCAGGGTTCTTTGATAGGACTTTTAACACAGCAATTGATTTGTGATATGGAGGAGGCTGTTTGGACACTGTCCAATGCAGTCCATTCTATCATATTCACTCTTATGTATGGAAGTACAGGCAAAAAACAGTGCGAATGAACTGTGTTTGGCACAGCAGAGTAAACCACTATCCTCAGGCATTCTAACATACTCATTTTACACATTCAGCACTATTATTATCCAAAACCAGCAATCTCTTATCTTAAAAATCTCACTAACCACACCGTACTGCATGCTGTGATCATTACAAATCAAACTGATATTCATGTTTTTCAAATGCAGACCAGGCCCTCTTTTGGATGTAGTACTGTTTTTATTTCAAAATAAATAGCAGTCTTTGTTCTTGTAAATGTGTCTTTATATCTGCAATCTTGTGGATTACACTTCACCTGTAGGTATAGGCTGGTCCACTGGGGACATAAGATGCCTTGTGTGAGGCTTTTAACGGATCACTCCAGAGCTTTTGTACCTAATCTCTGTCTGTCAGATCCGTAGCTTATCAAAACAGCCATTAAGTGCAAGTAATTCAATTCAGGGAAAAACAAAAACACAATTAACAGAAAATCACATAGCAGCTTCAATAACTATACATAAGATCATTTTTCTCAGTATTTAGTGTGTCCACTTTTTTACTTTATAACAGCTTCCATTCATTTCAGGAGATTTACTTCACGTTAAAGACATCTGAAGGGATATTTTTCCACACCTCCAAAGTTTTAGTCTTAGAAGTTGGTTGCATTTTCTGCTTTTTGTTTTACAAGTAATCCCAAACAAATTTAATGATGTTGAGGTGTGGACTCTGGGGTGGTCAGTCCATTGTTCCGAAACACCAGCAGCTTCTTTGTTTGATAAACACATTTTCTTTCCTTGTTTCCTTTTCTAAGTACCAGCTTCTTGACAGCGACGCATCCTTTCAGACTCATAGTATTGCGTTGTCATCTCACAGTGGAAGGACAGACAGAAACACTTGTGGATTTTGATGAAAAATGGAGCTTCATTTTCTACCATCTCTCAAAGATGAAAGCTTTAAGTAGTGCATTTACATTACATTTATTACATGTAATTTCCTCAGAAATGTTTACATTCCCTTTGCACAAGCCCTCAATCTATTTTTACAGAATTTGAAAATGTAAGCTTCCTTTACAATATGCTACTGTTATTTATTTAATGAATGCAGTAATGGAAATTATCCAATATTACTTGCTACATTGACTTTAATTTGAGGTTAAGGGGGATTTTTATGGCTTTACAGTTACCCATTTGGAGATACAAGGTTTTGTATACTTGTGTGTATACCAGCTATACATGGCAGATAGAGTGATAAATGCTGAAACATTAACTTAAGATCAGGTTTATATGAACGAAAGCCTAACCCTGTGAGCTCAAATCATCTCGCTCTTGTTTACACACTGTTGTTTATGTATCCTGGCTTTTTACAGTTTGTTTGTTTATGAGTGAAGTATCATAAGGACAATGGCCAGTAAACAAAGCACAGTATTGTAACACTAAAAACTGGCTTGGTCGATGTATTAGTCCATTGTAATAAAAATACCAAAGAGGGCATATAAACTGACTAACCAGTTAATTACAACCCCAGATCTTGTAATTACACTCCCTGTCCACTTTATGAGATCTGCCTTAGAGCTTTAACAGGGCCTGAAATTTGGTCCGAAACAGAATACAACTGAAGAGATTGTCTACATCCAACCTGACCTAACATAATTCTGTCTGAACTCAGAGCACATTATCATGTTTTAAGTCCAAAACTAACCCGAGTTCAACAATATTTTGTCTGAAAACGGACTCAATATTACTAGAAGTAGAATAGAGTGCTGAACAAAGCCTGACAGGACAGCACTGGTTACCATGCAGTGCCAATAATAGCATTATCATTAGAGCATGGATTAATAAATATACAACATTGGAAAATAATATACTATAATAAAATAATTAGCCATCCAAAGTGAGTTTAAATTCTGCTTTAGAAAATCATTTACAAAATGATGCTCTTGAATAGCATTTCAAAGATTTCAGTTTGGATGAATGTTCCATACTGCACTGCTCTCTCACTGTGCAATGCTGATATTGCGAGATGTTCACTTCCTGTTTAATCCTAAAACTCTAAATGAATTAAACATTCCTTTAACCGCACTAAAGTGTATTTTTCTGAATCGATTCACTGTTTATGTTATGTTTTCTTGCAAACGTGGGCGTCATGAACCTCAGAGCTCAGTGGGTGCCTCCAGCATGCCTGTTTCAAAGATTTCAGGTAGTGAAAGTAGAGAAGAATAAAGGAGAAAAACTAAAGCAGAGAGAAAAGGAGGCTAAAAGTGGGAGGTGGACTGTAGGAGCCCAACGGTGAAATTTTAACCCAAGCCAGACATGAATTTGAGAAATGTTGTCTGAACCCAACATAAGTAGTCAGACAAATAGTTTCCGTTTCAGGTGCAGTATACTGGTGTAAAATTACACTATTTGTCAGCCACTCTCTACTTTATCAATCATAGATCAGTTTTAGACCACAGGGCTGCTATTGACTAGATATCATTTGGCTGGTGGACCACCCGAAATATCCACTCAAGAAGGGCTCTGTGGTAAGAAACTGACCGCTGATGAAGAGCTAGAGGATGGCCAACACAAACTGTGCATCAAAAGATGGACTACAGTCTCAAAATGTACACAAGCAAAGTGGAGCTACAAGGTAAATGTTTCTAAGAAAGTGGCCAGTGAGCAAAGCCAGAGTGGGTAACCAGGAGAGTCAGGAGAGTTCCCAGTGGGCTGGTGGAGTTTTGGGTTGGTTACTGAGAGCTAATGTATGAACTAATGCATATATGCACAAGAACTCTGAGACAAACTATAAATGTGACGTCCAACGTTATAAATAAAGTAAGTATATATACAGCCCACCATCTCAAGTGAGAAGGCCCTGCTTGGCTGACTGTTACTGAATCTCATGCAATGGACAGAGATTAGATGAAGCTAAAGTTAGCATCTCATTCTCATTTCCCATTCCACCTTAAATGACTTAGCGGTTTCGTTCACAAGCACTAGTGTGTATCTGCTGCAATATTTAAGGTGGAACATAAATTTGAATAAGAAGCTAACATGAGCCTCATGTGATTAGTGAATCAAATTCAGTGTGACTGTGTGAATCTGGCCACAATATCATTCAATTTGATACTGGCTGATACAACAGGCAGAGCTCTACAGAGTTTAGCACATTTGTTTCAAACTTTCAGTTCATTATCATGCACCGGTTATTCAATTTGAAGCTTCAATTGCAGTTAAAAGATGTAACTGGGGATGTTTAAAAGTAT